TTTTCAATTTACAATCTGATTGGCAAAGGAAACAACCTTTTCTTTTTTTCATTTGGTTGACTGGCATCTACTGTCTCTTGTTCTTTAACTTCTGTAGTTTTTAATAGACGTCAACGGTTTCTTAATTCTAATCTATCACCTGAAGGGTTACTTATGGTGCACCAGTGCTCTTTACAATACTCTTCCTTGCAGTTGTATTGAATTTGCTTCAAATTTGCAATCTTTTAAAATTGGAAATCTGGCCCTTTTCCTTTTCTTTGTTTTGATTGTTGCCTAATTCCGAAATATTCTTTTCTTTCTGTGTCTACTTACTTTTCGTGCAGTCAGCGGGTTTTACTGCTGCTCCTCTGTTTCTAGTAGCTGCAATCTGGTTTGTTGCAATTGGCCTTTGCATGCTGTTAACCTGTATCTGTTTTTGCTGCTTCGGGGGACGAAGTTATGGATACTCTCGAACTGCTTATGCACTTTCTCTTATCTTACTCTCATTATTCACCATTGCTGCAGTGTAAACATCTCTGCCTTCCCTCAATTACCTGGTTCTTTCTCACAGTTGATGGCTGATTCTTTGTATGTACTGAAGTTGAGTTTCCATTTTCTGCTTCAGCGTCGGTTCTGTTGTCCTTTACACTGGACAGGGAAGATTTCACAATACTACAACAGAGATATTGAAGTATGTTGTGAGACAAGCAGATTCAACAGTTTACAACCTTATGAATGTGTCAGACTATCTTACTGCTGCTAAGCAGGCTGGAGTAGAGAATGTATCTCTACCTTCAGATGTCCAAAACCGAATTGACCAAGTTGATGCCAAAATCAAATCCGCTGCAAGCACTCTTAAAAGCGAAACTGACAAGAACAGAAATAGGATAAATGACATTCTGGATGTTGTGTAAGTATATTAATAGGATCCTTCGTTTTAATTTATCAGGTTCATCTTGTAAATTTACATAAAAGCTTATTCCCCCTGCAGGAGGAAGATTCTAATTATAGTTGCTGCGGTCATGCTTGCTGTGGCTCTTCTTGGGTTTTGTAAGCCTACTGCTTTTTTTCAGTCAAGTTTTTAAGTTTAATTAATTAGTCACGATCTAGCCCTCACACCAACTCCGCAATCATGGGTTGCAGTATTCTCCATCCTTGGCTTGCAGTGTCTTGTATGCATGTAAGTGCCATTATTTTCCCCTTTGACCCTGTGAATAGTTTAAGTTTTATGACTTTTAAAGTTTTTGTGCAGCCTTGTTATCCTTGGGTGGATTTTGGTCGCCGTCACATTTATCTTATCTGGCGTCTTTCTTGCTCTATACAAGTGAGTCAATGGAAATGAAATAAGGAATTTCCATTTCATTGTTTTCTGTGTATGTGTTTCCGTCTTCCTTTAGGGGCTTAGAGCACCAATTTACCGCTGGAAGAGTTGTTTATTGAGTAGATAGTTCTTGAGCATATCTTCTCAGGAAATGAATCTAAAGTAAGCAGGAAAAGCAAAGTTCTGAGGATCAAAAAAATGTAAGAAATCAGCCTCGAGAAATTGTGAATCACTGAAACAAAAGCATGAGCAGTGCCCATAAACACACCCTAGAAGTTGTAGAATGTCACTATATCAGCATTCAAGAGAAGGCCACGATTATGTTTATCAATTTACAGACTATCTTCCCTCTTATTTTATCCATGGTCCTCCACTCTATTACTACTACATTTGCGCAATTGCTATTGATTCCACCTGCCATAATATATACTTTCCTACTGCTTTTCTTTCAAGTATTGCGGGCGACACGTGTGTTGCAATGGATCAATGGAACAAGAACCCGACTGCTCATACAGCACTGGATGATATACTTCCCTGTGTGGATACTACTGCTGCTCAAGAAACCTTGTCCGAGAGCAAAACCGTCACTTTTCAATTGGTTGGGGTAGTTAATGGGCTCATTGCAAATGTGTCCAATGTGAATCTACCACCTGCGGCTGGACGTTTGTCCTACAATCAATCCGGTCCTCTGGTGCCTCTACTTTGTAATCCGTTCAATCCAGACAAGACAGCGCGGAAATGCGCAGCCGGCGAAGCGGACCTCACCAATGCAACGCAGGTACTGTGATTCCCCATCACATTAATTAAACAGCTGACTGCTGTGAATGCAATGAAGTTAGATGCATCTGATTTTACGGACACGTAAGTGGTTGAATGCAGGTTTGGAAGAATTATGTGTGCCGGGTCTCGACGAACAATGTTTGCACGACCGTGGGTCGTTTAACACCTTCAATGTATCAGCAGATGTCTTCTGCTGCCAATGTGAGCTATGGTCTGTATCATTACGGCCCCTTCCTGACCGACCTATTGGACTGCACCTTTGTTCGCGACACCTTCAATAGGATTCACGACGACCATTGTGATGATCTAAAGCGATTCAGTAAATGGATTCATGTTGGTTTGGCATTGGTATCAGCTGCAGTAGCACTATCTTTGATCTTTTGGCTACTTTATGCAAGAGAAAGGCGTCACAGGAAATATACCAAGCTGGTTGATGCAAGATCTCATCAAGATTCCTACGAGAGCAAGGGGCCACGCTAAAGCTCCACCATATTACTTTAGGTTTGTGATGATGGTTCATTCATTTGTACGGTCATTTCTTCTGTAAATAATGTCTGGGATTTCCACATTGCCAATGTTCTGGAATAGGATTTTTTTTTTTTTTAGGTTACTTGTGTTTAAGCCAGATGATGCTAGTGCAGGTTTACTCAGTATTTTTGTGTTTGGTGAATGTGGTGTGCTGGTGGTACTTGTTTTTAACATTTTTTTATTTTTCCACATTTAGAACAACAAACTTCTTGATTACAAGTTTATAACTCCTTCAAAAGTCTAAACTTCGCTTGTATGACATAAAAATGAGCTAAGTTAATTAAACTATTTCTTATCATATCTAAAATTCTAAACACGTAAAAGTCCACAGCCACCTTTAATCCTTGATGAACTAAAGCCAAAGCTTTCTCAATAGGCACAAAACTGATTACAGGAGCTAATTTCCAATCTCAAATCTTACCTAGTGATCTTTCTCTCCTTGGATTAGGAGTAATGCTAATTGGTGCATTGCACAAAGAGGGATTTTAGTGATCATATTGTCTGAATTATGTTATGTGGCGTGTGAGACCAGGACCAAATTTGGGGCCTGCAAGAGTTGAGTCAGTATCATCTTGTTTCTCAACCATGGGAGGATCCAATTCAAACAAAAACAATAATGAAAAATCCCTCTTCATCATGGACGACCAAGTAGTCTTTAATTGTATCTGGTTCTTTGAGGATTAAGATATGTAAACCACCAAACCAAATTACTATCATCACACGTCACATCGTAATCTTCAATTGTTAGATTAACAACACTAATACTAGAATCCAAGTTAATCACTACTGTTTACACCAAACAAAGTATTTATTCCTTTATATAACAATATATAAGGCGTGAGGTTGAACCACTGCCTAATCTTCCGCCAACTATGATACCTGCAAAGCGATAGCCATGATGGAAACAAAAGCAGCTAGCGGCTTTGTTTGGAAATCAAATTTTTTCAAATAATATTTCATCTTCATCATAAACATATTTTTTAATTTACTTTTTTATATTTCCAATCACTATTTTATCTCATATACATCGCATCACAAAAAGTGCTATAATAATTATTTCAAATAATACTCTATCCAAACAAACCCGCCGGACCTAACTGGTTTGACAGGACCTAACTGGTAGTTGTAGTGTAACTAATTAATAATTTTAATCGTGCATTCCAAGGGGGCTAGAACAGGGATGGAAAATTGAGTGAAAAGGATTTTTTAAAAAAAAAAAAAAAAGGTATGATTGTGGCGGAGAGTGATAAATTGTATTTGACACATGTACTTCTATCTAATGGATTCCATTTGTGCTGAATGAATTGCTGTCAAGCAGAATATAAATAATAATTAAATATAGCATTACATACCTTAATAGACAATAGCCACTTTCCACCACGCATCTGCAATCAAAGACTGACGACACGAACTTCCCATGACAATAGATCCATCGCATCATGCAAACTCTTCCACTAACTAAGTTAATCATGTCATTATTTTGATGAAGAGAGTGCTGCAAGAATGCGTATGAGAGTCGATTTACCATACTTCTTCTTAATATAATGACAATTTTGACCACTTGAATTAACTCTTCCAAATACCACTACTGCAGCACTACTGCTTGGCACAATTTGTACAAAAATAAATATGACACATGGCTTTGCCACATGGGATCCGGTGTTTGGTGACCAGCAAGATGTAGTGGGATTAACTACCCATAGTATTGGTTCAATACAATGTGTGAAAATTACTATATACGATTTAAAAGTAAACTTTAAGAAGAATAAAAAAAAGGACTTAACTCCAAACCTTGGAATGATGAAACTGGAAATTTAGATATAAAATACTAATGAAGAGCATCTGAATCTTCATCAATTGATTAAGTTGGGTTAACTTCGTGAAACAACTTTCAGGAATTGTGGGTATTTGGGCCGGCAAGAAAGTCTCTAAGGTCGATATTGAAAGGGAAAAAATTGGAATACAAGTAAGGGTGCGTTTGGTTCAACAGAATTGGAATTGAATTGGAATTGAAATTCTATAGAATTAAAATTCTATGAATTGGAATTCCAAAACATTGGAATTCTTTTGTTTGGGAAATACATAGAATTGATATAGAATTCATTTGGAATTCCAAATTCTTTGTTTGGATGAGAGAAGAATTCATTAAAAATTAGAATTGTTTCCAACTAACATTTCCTTACATAAAAAATTTCTTCTTTTTTACTATATAATAATTTTTTAACATTTAGCTAATTGTTACTAAAGCTTTAAGGAAAAAGCCAATTAGTGCCCTTAATAATTTATTTTTTTTCTTGCATTTAACTAATTGTTACTAATGCTTTAGAGAAAAAAAACAAATTAGTTCCTTTTCTACAAAAAAAAAAAAATTTGATCAGAAAGCCAGCAAATCAGCAATAAACAGCCAATCTAGCACTAATCAATATTCAGAGTGCCAATTTCTTATCGCACAGGTACAAATATACCAATATGATTGTGCTGGTAGTAAGATTTCCATAATAACCAAAAAGGACTGGGCAAGTACATGATCCAAACAACAGGCATCATTTGGTTTAGGTAGCTTTATACCTTGTGAAACTGAAAACCATGAACTGAGCCAATTCCAGTCTGGAGAGTGAACGTCAATGAGCAATACAAAGAGACCTCCTAATATCTTCACAACTCATAGCACTTCTCCTATTCAGTTATGAAAATGCATATCATAGAATCACATGACGGAATTCAGTGGTGGAGGCCATCAGAATGCAAGTTCATTTATGTTAGCCTCTACTGAGTTTAAGAAGTGGAAGGTTCATGGTGATGCCTTGACCAATGCGGCAATTTAGAATATTTTGTGCATGTCATGTAGATGGTGTAAGATGCTCTAATCATTGTTTGGTCTCCTTACACAAGTCCTAACTCTAACCCCAACTCTGTATGGAGGAGCTTTGACCAGCAGCAATAATGTTGAAAATCTACTACTAGTCTAACCTTGGATCAGTAAGAGCATAATCATTTATATCCATTTACAATGAAACCAATTGTAAAAAGCACTTATTGAATTAACTCTGCTAGCTTGGTAGTGATTATAACCAATTACCAATCCAAAACTAGTAGCCGTAAAATACAAAATAATGTTATTAAACTAACAGGAACAGAGAGTGATTAAACTAGTAGTTCCAATAATGTTTGATTAGATAGAAACAGATGATTCTCTAATCATGCCAAATATATGAAAAGCTATCTGAAAGTTGAATTAAACGAGGAACAGAACCACAAGTACCTTACGTAGTTTGCAACTAAGACAGGATCAAAGTCACAGCGGGCATCCTTTACATCAGGTGACCATTTTTCCTTCAACACCCCAGTGACAATCACATCATCTGAAATCAAGCTTACGCAGATCATTTACATAATCACACCACAAATGTGCACTTAATGTACATATGACAGCATAACTACAACACAGATGTGCACTTACGCAGATCATTTACATAACCACAACACAAATGTGCACATAATGTACATATGACAGCATAACCAGGAAATAAAAAGATGTCAAATTCTCATATTCCTGTGACATATTTCTCTGGAATTAAAACTGCGTAGTCATCATATACTTGTAAGGAAAAAGCTCTAAGTGAAGATCAAAATATTTATGCTACTGATTTATTTTTCTTTCTTCCCTTTTGGCCTGACTTCTCTTATGAACCTTGTGGTCGACCAAATACTCGGTTGGAGAAGGCAATCATTATTACCACATGGAAAGAAGCACAAATTGATTTTTTACTCCTATTTAAAACTTCAGAAAGTTCCCAAGTGGTGGATATGATATTACTGGATTTGCCCATTAGCATGGATGGTTTATAGACTAATTGCATACCAATATGGTGACGTAGAAGACACCATTGAAGTCCCTGGGATGTCCTCTCACCCAATGATTAAAGACTACATCAAAAAGCATTTTGGATATGATTCAGAATTATGGCTTTGTAGCTATAGTAATGGTGGCTTTTGCGGTCTTATTTGCTTTCATGTACTCCTACTGCACCAAGAGATTAAACTTCCAAACTAGGTAGAACAAGCCATGTGTCAAACTTACTTTTCTGGAAGTTTTGCCTTCATTTACTCCTATTTTTCTGGATTTTGAGATGGCACATTGAAACAGAACAAACCGTGGCAATGTGTCAAATGAAACAAGGCTTTGTAACAAAGCCCATAACCAATGATTAATTAAAAAATTTCAAAGATGAAGTTACCTTTCACAAGCCCTAAGTATTTCTGAAATTTGGGGAAAGCAAAAGAGCTGAAGGAGAGAACCCAGAAAGTAAGGATGAGAGGAATAAAGGTGACTGCAGCAGAAATGGAGGAGTGGCAGAGGTAAGTGTGGAGACGGAGCGAAAAAAATTGGACAGAGTAGGTCTTGCGATTGGCGAGCTGATGGGTGAAAGGGTGGCGGGAGTGGAGAAGGATGGAGGGAGTGGCCGGAGGATTGGAAGGCGGAGAGGGAGACGGTGGTAGGAGACGTAAAATGTTATAGTGGAGGTGGAAGCGATGATGGAGGAGGGGCACCTGTGAGGCTCTGCAAGCGATCGGGACAAAGAGACGTCTTTGTTTCTTGCAACTTTATGTTTGACCCGGTTATAATTTTTACCCACATTTGATCCGCGTGTAAACCCGTTTCTTAGGATTTGGTGTGGAATTGGAATTAGAATTCTTTTGATCCCATAAAGAATTCAAGTCATGGAATTGGACCCCCATAGAATTCAGATTCAATTCTAATTCTTTGAGTGGAGCAGAATCCAAACAACAGAATTGGAATTGGAGCCTCAATTCCAATTCTAAACTCCAATTCCATGGGGAACCAAACGCACCCTAAGTGTTGTTGTTAAGCAAATGGCATCGTGGACAATTCATTTCCGACAATAACTGACACCACTGGGGTCAAATTAGCCCACAGACTTCACCGCGTTTGCCTACTACGTGTCATCTGGCGACGCAGCATACAATTCTACGTTGTTGTTGTTGACGCCAAGCTCGGTGCTCCATCTGACAGAAACTTCCAAAAAATTGACGCCTACAGTTATACAAAGTAGCCGTTTGGCCAACGCCTAAAGAGAGACAGCTGACTCCGTCGTCATTATCCCCTCACTTTTGAAAATATTTTTCTTTTCTTTTTTTTTTAATAAGGAATTCCAATTGTTTCTACGAGCCAGGACGCATCTGGATACGATAGGTCGTCTACAGAGATACTTATAAATGATTATCGGCTCAATTTTCATATTACTTTGTAAGACATATCTGGAATGGTAGATTACTTATAGAAATACTCGTAGATTGTTGTCAACTCAATTCTGATATATCATCAGCTGTGAAATAATTTATTTTTATTAATTGAATCAACTTGCATGAGTTATCTTTCTTTTCTTTGGTGCCCACCATTTTCTTGTGCTTTTAAGGCAATTGAGTGCCAAATGTCGATTCCACTGCGTAAGAGGGTGGTCCTCGTTTCATTTTCATGGAAGGAGGCCGTTTCTTAGTTGTAAACTTGAATCATGATTAAATACGAAAGTGACCAATAGTTAGAGTGAAAAGGAAGGATTAAAGGAGACAAGATATGGATTAACATCGAATTTTATGAGTTAACCCTTGCCACTCTATAAACATTTTATTATTAAAAGACATAACTATCAGCCTACATAGATAAACCCAAATCCCTAACCTCATGAAAACGGAGTTTCCTATTATTTTAGTTTGGTTAGTGGTTAACCTTGCTGTGGGTCAAGTACAATTCACTGGGGAACAATCTGGAGTTAAATGATTGAAGAAATGTTTCAAAGAGAAATGATTGAAGAAGGGAAATATCTGGAATTAAATGTTTCAAAAAGAAATGATTGAAGAAGGGAAAAGCCAAAAAAAAAAAACCTTTGGAGTTGCAAAAAAAGTTTAAAAGAACGAAATTTAAGGAGTGCATGAAGTTTTTTGAGAAGCACCATTTGCCTAAATATAAACACAAAATCCACAGGTTTTTATGAGTATGTGCAGCATAACTTATCCAAATGGGAAACATTTGAATATAGAATAAAAGGGTGCCAATTAAGGCTTTGAGAAGCAACATATCTCTTCATATAGAAGTTAATTTTTTTTCTTGGTTCAAATTTTTTGAGGCACATTTTGGCTAGAGTTGTTAATATATTTCAATTTACTTGAAGGAAAATGCCCATCGCATTTACTTGGTAGAACCAATTTCTTTGTTCCTTCCCATTCTCAAATTAAATGTGGTGTTAATGTAAATTCATTTACTGGCAGCCAACACTCCATCACAAATGGTCCAATTAAAAAATGCATTGAGTTAATAGAATATCTACTGAGATATTTTTCATAGATATTAGCATTAAATTAATCATCATATCTATGAAAAATCAGAGCATCCAACACGGCCGAAGGCAAGGAATTAAACCAAATGCAGAGGATATTTTCGTCCTGCGACGCAGTCTTGTCCAATAAATTAGGGTCACAAGAGCATTGCACATAGGACGTGTCAGACAACTGACCGGCTCCGAAGATCTAGTGACAAGTGGCGCCAGTTTCGGCGCCCTAACCATTTTTTCAACTTACACATCAGCCCAAATTTCATCTCATCCGAGTGTATCACACGCAACTGGCCATTTCATATATAAATATATTTGAAATCCTAATAGTACCTAAATTTGGCACCTTACGCTCAAATTATATTTGGAGTTCAAATGCTATTTTTCCTCCGTATGTTTAAGGAAAATTATATGAATTAATCTTATATCTATTAATACTATATAAACTATAACAGTTAAATATTTAATAATTATATAAAATTTAAATTAATTATCAAATATTCAACAATAATAATAATGTATATATAATCAATATACATAAGATTAATCAAAATTCTATAGATAAAGATTCTTTTTATTAATTACTACTAAATCACATTTTGTTTAAAGTTACCCATCTTTAACTTTGACCGCCGGCCAAAACGATAATATGACGGCCCAAATGTCATCATCACACCCTCCCTTTCATAACTCACAGTTTTTTGTATGAGTGTTTCATCATCACACCCTCAGTTGCCAATATTCTTGGATAGAATTCATAAAACATACCCCGGCACGTCAAAAGCAAGCTCGCTCGCGCGTCTCGAGTGTGTCATGATCTTGATCTGACAGCCCATAGCTTTTTGTTCTTTTGAGTTTTAATCCATTGGAAAACCATCCCGACATACTACCAGTATCTATCTAAGCTAATCCAACGGCCGGTCCACCTTCTCTTTACCAAAAACTCCTCAGACATGCACTTAATTCCCAACTTGCCATCGCCTTCCCCAGCTATATAAGCCTTGCTTCAGTCTTGCTTAGGTTTGCCGAAATAGAGAGCCAACCGGCGCTATTAGGAGATTTTTTTAAAAAAAAGAAAAAAACTCTTTTTTCCGAATATAATTTTAAAAAAATATTTCACACTCTCCAGTTTCAAATCCACAAGTGAAATCGACACAAGATGGTGACGTCATCATCGAAAAGCAAGGCCACCGGCGCCGGATTTCAGCACCATTTCCAACGCTCACTCTCGCCTCTGGGCCGTTTTTGCTCATCTTCCTCGGCCTTCTCTGCCCGAGCCGGACCCGCCATTATGGCCCGGCCCACATCTCCAACTCGGGTCAATTTATGCAGATCTGTTTCCCCGACGCCTTCCGTCCGTTTCTCAACCTCTCCCGGCCGATCGATCGTTGTTTCCCCCCGGCAATCGAGGCAAAGTAATAGACCAGTGCCATCTAATCAGAAGAGGACGTGCCTGTGCTCGCCGACGACCCACCCGGGGTCGTTCCGGTGCAGCCTGCATAAGAACACCAACAGGAATGATCACCACACGGGGTCCTATAACCGGTCCAGTCATCAACTGATTACAGGAGCAGATCGGCGATGACGAATTCGCTGGTGAGAATTGGCACCGTGGAAGGTGATTTGGTGAAACGGGCCCTCACCGCCTTAATTCGGCCGTCGTCGCATAATCTCAGACGGCGGGGCGACTTCCACCCGCGGCCGAGTCGGCTATCTATCATGTCCAAAGCGGAAGATTTGTGACTGCCGCTATTGCTGCTTTGCCTTTCCCCGAATGTACAGATACGAGTTCCGACTGGAACGTTGTGGCGATTCTGACCAGTTTCTCGAGTCAACTCGGCGAATCAGTACTTGACGATTTCTTCAGCCGTTTTTAGAAAAAGTTGGAGGCTAGAAACATAGTCGGGAGACCGAGTCGTAAGTACTAGTAGTAAATACTAACGACTTTGAGTTGTGTACCGGTATAGTGTGGACTAGGGGCCAGTGATGGTCTCTGAGAATTTACCATCCATGCAATTTTTTTTTTTTTATATATATACTTTATACATTTTTTTCCAGTTTTATTTTTACCTTGAAATGCAAGATCAAGCGGGAACAAATCATATCAACCTACAGAAAAGGGTTGATAGAAGATGAGACCAATTTAAACCTAGTCTAACCCAAAGAAACTAACCTCAATAAACTCCAAAGAGGTTGTTATGTTGTTAATAACAGCCAATTGTTTTAAGCTGTAAATGCAAAGATACCCGTTCTTTTCACAAGTATTTTGGGCCAGCATTAGCAATTGAAGAAAAGGCCGTGGATATCCCGAGTCCAACAACGATTGATGGCCACTGAATAAACCAGGCTGTCAACTGGCCAGCATATGCTGTATCCCGTTATAGCTTTTTGCTCTTTAGATTGGGCTTGGGGTAATTCACTGCAACCACAATCTGATCAGTTAACTGATCGCTGCGATGCGCTTTTGATTGGCTTTGGGCTATTCACAGCAGCCACAGTCTGGACCCTTTTAAGAAACCAAGAATGGATTACATGATAAATTCAAAAAACTTTGATATTTTTTCCGCCCTGTAGCGGCTTAAAAGTTTTTTTTTAAAATAAAAAAGGAAAATGAAAACATTTTAGGGTCTGTTTGATTGGATGTAAAATATTTTCCCTAGAAAAGTAGACTGTATTCCCGCATATATCGCCTAGAAAAGAATCAGCAAGGGTCATGATGACATACAGAGCTGATGACAAAAGACTTGATGTCCTTCATTCCGGCTTTAAAACCCTAAGTTAAAGGAGGCTTGTTCAACGCACAAGGACCACAGGCCCTGTTGTTCTGGCGAAAGCTTCTTCTTGAATACTGGGGGCCCCAAGGAGGTGTACTGGGCACCTTTTGTAAGCTGGCAGCCGCCATGTGGGCATTTTTTCCTGCTCCTAAGTTTGGTCTTTTACTATCAATGGAAACTTCACATTTGGAGTTTTCCATAACTGTGTTGATTTCATATAAACAGTACAAATAATATGTAATATATCTCTATTTGATTTCACCTAAACAGATCGATATATACATGGGTTTAAATCTAATAATTTTGTTTTAAACCTATATATATATGTGTGTGATTTCACCATGTGAATCTATTCAATATTTGTAGTCTTTTCTATTTTAGTAATAATTCATTTATTGAGTTGTTTAATAAGAGTATCTAATTAATCGGTGTTAATTCGAATTCGATAGTCATGCTAACAAATTGCAGTTTAAATATGAAATTTTTACTCGCTACCTTTAAGACCAATAGTTGAATTTCTTACCTTATGATTATTTTAAAATTTGAAAGTGTCAATTACTTACTTCTTTTTGTTATACTTTTCCTTTGTTTATTTTTTCTGTCTAAATTTAATTCGATATAAACACTTGATAATGTTTAGAATTAAATATTTTCTTTGTTTTCAATTTTCGAGTAAAAGGAATGAACATGAGTGAAAAACTAACAATTTTTTTAAACCCCTGTATATATCTATTTAAATTTCACATAAATAGTATGTTTAGGTGAAAATTAAATAGAGATATATTACATGTTATTCGTATTGTCCAGGTGAGATCAAATAGATATATAAATTAGTTTTAAAAAAAGTTATTCATACACATGAACAATGAGAAATGAAAAAAATTATTTTGTAAAATATGAGGGATGAAAAAATTCATTTTGTGAAATCTGAGGGACGAAACAATTCATTTTGTGAAATGTGAGGGACAAAAAAATTCATTTTGTGAAATGTGAGAAACTATGGATTGAATAATGTAAATTTTGATTTGACAATTTTACCCTTAAAAAGTGATCACGTGCAAGGAACGTGGTGCATTTCGACAAAAAACTAGTCGGAAATCTAGATAGGGATTAAATTTAATCAATATGAATTTGTAAGGGACGTAAAAGTACACTTTTAAAAGTAAATGATGAAAAAGTCATTTTGCAAAATGTGAGGGACGTTTTGAACGATTTTTCCTATTTTTTAATCAAATCTATAATGTTAATTCTAAACTTGTTAATGTTCATTGAATAATATAAATTGCTACTTGATCATTCTAATTTCTTTGTATTTTCTTGTTAAATATATTTGAAACATCAAACATATATAAATATACATTTATTAATATTAACATGTTCTTAAGTATTTTACATACAATATTTTAAATTTTAAATAATTTTTATTTATGACATCATCTGGTTTAATTCCGATCGAATCGGGTCGAACCCATTGACCCCTGACCCATAAGCTCGACCGAGTCGATTCCCGATTCGAATATGAAAACATAGTTCCATCAGGCGTGAGGAATGAGATGACTGCCGTTTGGTGGAGAAGATTTGAACGTTTGGTGGAGAAGAATTGAACGTTCGACATCTCTCAAAATTCCCCATCTTGACTTGAGATAGAAGTTGATTGTGCTGACATTTTATCCTTGGCGGTTAAAAGCTAATGACAGTCCTGACCATTATTTACATCCTATCATCATGGATTGCAGATTCCTGCTTTTGCAGCTGCAGCAGTTTAAGCTCATGCATGTTTATCACGAAGCCAACAGATGTGCTGTGCTGATGCTCTTACAAAGTTTAGGATGCAACTTAGACAAATCTTTTGAAATTGTTGATACTTGTCCTCCTGATATTTCTTTTGCTTTTGATGAGGACACCAGAGGGATGTGCTTTCCTCTCGTAGCATTGGGACGATATGTAATAGCCAGGTAACATCTGTTGTGCTCTGGTTTTGTTTATGCAATTCTCCTTTTTACCCCCAAAAAAAAAAAAAAAAAAAAACGAGGCTTGGTAGCTTAGCCGTTGGTTGATCTTATAATGGATTCTGTGGTTGGCTGACCATTTGTCTTGATCATCCCTGCAACCTTTACAAAATTATAAAGAAAGATAGATCACTTGTTTGCATTTTTTTTTCTTGTTCATCCAATTTTTTTTGTTTAATAAAGAAAGGGCGAGATTTAAGAAATAGAAAAGAGATCGAAGTAATTGAATCTAAAACCTTTTATTTTTAGAATCTCAATCTTATGTTCATTCTATAACTCTAAAAACGTAAATAAAAATTACTTCAACATTAACTTTCGAAAAGAGCTAAGAAGAAATTGTGGACCTACGCTATTATTAAACATCCCTTGTGAAATTGATTCAATGATAGATGGAATTGAATAAAAATACCGACAATACGAGTTGAATTATTAAAAGGCTCAAACTTGCTAGTGTTGGTAAAAGTCAACACTCCGTTTGGATTAGCTGTTTTTTAAGGTGTTTTCGAAAAACTTTGCTGTAGCAGAGTTTTTAGAGTATATTTTAACATATTTTTAGAAAATATTTTGGAATATTTTTTATTGGCACTTTATTTTTGAGATATTTGGTAAAATTTTAAAAAAATTTAAACTAATTTTTAGATTATCTTTTAGAGTACTTTGTTGTAACTTTTATTGTATTTGAAAAACTAATTTTTGAAAAACACTCCACAAGTTATTTCTCCTACAGTTATAAAACTAATAAAGGCAATTCATGAGTAAAAAAAAAATTCAATCTCTCCGAATAAAGTTATTGCTCTAAAAAATTTTTAAAACATGAGTTTGCCCCCCAAAATATTCATTGTTGACTTGGCCGATCCAATCAAACCATTGTCGCCTATTGGGACCACTAACTCGTTAACCTAGTAAAAAAAATGCTCCAAAGCTGTCACTATTGATCACACTTAAAGAAATACCTTCAACTAATGACTTGTTGCCTCACGGTACGTGCATGTGCTACCTACACGTGGAAATTAAGGTTGGCCATTGTGAGTTTGGTGAATTTTTATTTTAGCTAACGGCTAACGTTGGGTTCACGTGTGCTTATGATCGCAAATGGTGGTTGTTAGCCTAGCTCAGGACTGCTATTATTTTCTCATGTCAATTTTCAACCCAAAAAAGGTATAAAATAAAAGGGAATAATATTAGAAATCTCTTTGAGATTTCTCTTAATATTACTTAGCGCTTCTAATGTTTTAGAAAATTACTTACCTTCCTTACTTTTTGTTATTTGTGTAATAAAATTTTGAAAAAATCCTAAATTATCCTTTTTCTCTTTCACTTCAACAAAAACTATCACCTACAAAACAATATATAGTAATACCATCATATCACAAAGTTATATTCCGTAAAAATATAAATTTAAAAAAGAAAATATATATTTGTAGAGTTCTAGCACCAATTCAACTTTATACGCTTAAAATTGATTTTTTATTAAACTTATTTTTTCTAACATTTTCTCAATCAATGGCACAAACCTTTAAGTTGTACTAAATCATTATAAAAATCAACTCAAAATAAACAAAGTAATCATACTTCACTCTATCACAATCATAAAATAAAAAAATACAAACAAAATTCAGTTTACTATAATTTTTATTAAAAAAAATCACATAAAAAAAGAGCAAGAGAGGATATGAGAGAACAGAGAAAGAGAACAAAGTGACTTTTGTTTCTTTTTGTTTATTTTTTGAACTCCATTTATTTGATATGTGAATCATATATCAAGTGAGGGC